GATTCAGTTTATGTTTGATTTAAATCCTATAGAATTACCTGCAGTCTTTTAATTCAATGTCAACAAATGACTTGGGAAGGATATAATCACAGCAAATTTTTAAAGTTCAATACTTTCAATCTTTGTCTTTTGAATTTACATCTTAAAAGATAGATTTGGAATTTTGAAATCAGTAAACAATTTCCTGTCTTATATAGATCTAGTAGAGTGGTCTGGGGAATGGACAAAATTCATCAAGCTTAATCTAACAGAAAATAAGTTACCTGTATATAAGGACTGTTATTGTACCTATTCAGTTATTTATACAGGTATATTTTACAAACTGGATTAAGAGAGTATAAAATATGATGAGATTTAGCACACTTTATGATATACGGCTCCAGGTATTTCAGTTCAAGTCATTAAAAGCTATTTTTTATACCTGATATGGTTAGATATATCTTGAAATGAATCCTCGACTGCTTCAGATACCAGTACTTTCAGTCCGTGATCGACTTTGTTACAAATATTGATCCAGTGGATTTTTCCCCTAATTTGTGATAACTGTTGGGCCTACACAGATTTCTCTGGTATTCACAAGATAGGGTTAGTGAATACTGCACTGCAATCCTTCAGGAAGGTGTTTCATTACGACCATGTTTGTTGGACAAAGAGGAAATGATTTATGTTTATAATGAGATGAGGAATTTTATAAAGCAATGTAGAGTCCTTTTAAATGACATCAATACATAGTAAAGCTGGGAGTCTGTAGTTCAATTGAGTTTACAAATATCAAGGTATGTGTTTTTATAGTACAAATTATGTAAATCTTTTTTTAATTGTTAATAAGTTGGCATAAATAAAGCCACTCTGTTTTGATGTATTGCAGGTAATTGCGATTTTAAATAACACCTAACTCATATATTTCTTAAAAATTAATATTATAAAGTTACCCTTTTCATAAAGGAATTGCAAAATATTTCTAAATTTTAATGATTAGAATGTGTCAAATTTATTAAAGAATGTGTTAAAGGGGAACAACTCCTAATTCAACGTGTAATATTGCTCACAATTCAACATCACTCTCTTTTAAACCAGCTTTTGGATAGGTGTTCCGAATCTAAAATTATTTTATTATATTATTCAGTGTGTATGTAAATGAAATATGTGGAGATAATGAATAGCATTCAAGCTCAAAACTCAAGAGCATGCATGTACTAGAGCAAACATGGACGTATAAAACATCAGTGTAGGATCAAAATCGAGTGTGTTAAAGGGGAACAACTCCTACTTCAACCAGTGTTAGTGTTACCAATATTTTTGTTTCCTTTTTACTTTTCTATTTTTATTGTAAACTATTTTATTAAAAGAAAAAGAATTTGAGATGGGTAATACATGTACCTAAATAAATTACAAATCTGAAAATCATAAACACAATGAAATATCCAAGTACAATTTAAAAAAATGCCATTGTACATGTACTTCATACATTGTAATATATATTAATTGTGTTGATCAATTTCTCTTTTTATTCATACCACTCTTAAGGATTAGAAGTTTTAAGTTTATTTATTTCATTAATATTAATTAAACTGTAAAATTCAATTTTGAAAAGAATGCTTCTAATAACTAACTTTAAGAAAAGTTTCAATTTACTTTATTTGATATCACGTGCAAAAAAATGGAAGTATGACCAGTGTTTTTGACATCATTCTTAAGAACTGGTGTTTTTTCTTGGCCCCATTCCAGAGCAAATATAATTGTGTCTTTGACTTACAGTATTTCTCTCCACTTAAAATATTCATTTACTGTCATAGGTTGAATGAGGAAGCAAAAATGGTAACATTTTATCAAATTATTAAGGAATAGTAATTTAAAAAAGTCATTCTAATTCTTTTTATTTGGCCTCAGCTGATTTAAGAACTTTTATAAGAGGCTCTCAGAAATGACCTAGTTACTTCAACCTTAATGGTGGCATGCACAGGAAAACTTTGAGATATAATTATAAATTGTGGGTTAAATAATAGAAGAAATTAATAAATGGTTGTGATTTCTGAATCACTTGGATTTATGCATGATATTATGATATTTGAGAAAGCTGTGTAAGAGATACTGAGGTTCAACTGTGTATGGTCCTGCGGCAGACTAACATGTAAAATGAAACTGTCAGCATTCCATGAAAAATTATAACATTGATGCATTTAGGGAATAAAAAGCTCAATGTCCCTTCATTTTTAAATATAGATGTAATCCATTAAGTTAAAACATTTCTTGAGTTGTTTGGTTAGGTAGGGGAATAAAATTTATTATTCTAAATAAAGTTTGAATATCAAAGTACTAGTATGTCTGGAGATATTGCTCTTGCTCCTGAGGGAAAAGACTTGAATATTGAGGACTCTCAGTCCTTCTGATTTTGCTTGGGTTTTTCCCATTGTAAAATTGTATGCATTAAAATCAATCATGGCACATTCTTGAAAAAAAATATAATTCTTGAAATAATTTAATGACTGAATCTTTTCTTTCTGTTTAAAATCAAGTTAAATATAATTCTTTTTGTGCTACTTTAAGGAGAATATTTCAAAGCTTCTGTGATGATATCAACAATATCCCACTAATTGTCTTACATTGTCAGCCCCCCCCCCCCCCCCTCAAAAAAAAAAATCATGGAACTATCCCACTTCTTGTAAAGTTGTGAAATTTTATTTTTCCAAAAATGATCAGAATTGATTATAATTTACAGAATTTTAGAATTGGATGGACACTAAGCATTTTGTAATTTTCTTTTATTGAGTAACTGTCAAAAACCTAAATATTAAATAATCATAGGTTATACACATTACTGAGGCATTTTATCAAAATAATCCTAACCAAACTAATAATTTTAGTCAGTTCCATTACAAATTGATTAGAGTTCTGAGAAATTTTGAAGAATTAGATTGTTGCTATGCAGGACCCTGTATCCATAACAGAGACAGTGAAAGCACCAAGAGGCAGATCTGGAGAGTCTCAGAGAGTTAAATAGGGTTATTTGTTCTTTAATATTAACAAAAGACCACATGGAATTCATCTGATGCAGAAAAATGATTAATTGTTGGAAATCATGGCTACATTTGCTCTAAGTCAGATTACAATGTTATTAGGCTTTGGCATATGAAAACTTTCCAGCAATTCTTAATTCTTTTATAGTAAACCATAAAAATAACTCTCATCTCTCTCTCTCTCTCTCTCTCTCTCTCTCTCTCAATAATCCCTATAATTCAAAATTAGACAGACTATATTTATTTTATTCATATAAAGATTAAAGCAAAATATTGTCACAGCAAAATGAGACAAAATTCATGATAATGTGTAGTGTATTTACTTACTCAAAGACATTAAGGGTGTCAAACTTGGTACACCAATATAATAAAATATGAATCTGAAAATGATTTATTAATTTATTCTTTAAGGTAGGCCTATTTTAATAAAATATTGTCTCAATACTTTTAAAGACAGTTTATCTTTGAGATTAGCAGATTGTGGTGATATTGATCTGTAGTAGAAATTGACATTTAATTGACTTTACGACCAGGGACCCTTCAGTCAAAGATTGTTGACATTGGTCTGCAAACTTTAAAATAAGTAGTGCATGTGAACATTCTTCATCTCTGTCATCACCATAACTGATAGACTGATTTCTCAAGGGTTTATATATTATTAAGTGTTTACTAAACACGGCTTGAGTGATGTGCCATTAAAATCAATTGTGAGTGAGGGTATGTTGTTTACCTGGTAGGCAACCCTTTGCATAGATCAGACTAATCCTATTGAATTTCATCTTTACAGAGGAAAAACTAGATCCTAACGGTCCAACAAAGGAGAGTAGTGAAGCCCAGCAGGACCCTCCAAAAGGAGAAAATACTAAATCTGAAGAAACCAAGGATGTGACAGATTCTAAGGAAGTGACTGAAACTGAAAAGCAAGATAATTCAGAGAGTGCTACGGAAAAGGTTGAAACAAAAGAGGCTGAAAAATCAGCGGAAAGTGAAAGCACTCAAGAGAGCAATATAGAAAACACTGAAAAACTTAACTCTTCTGAAATGGAAGGTGAAAAAGAAGCAGTTGCTGTTGCCACAGAAGGAGAGCAGGCTGTGGCCGAGGTGAAAGAAGAGAAAAGCAATGAAAAGAAAGAGGGGAATGATGAGGCAAAGGAAGAGGCAAAAACATCAGAGGAAACAAAGCTAGAGGAAGAAAATAAACAAAAGGAAGAGGAGGAGGAAACAAAGAGAAAAGAAGAAGAGGAGAGGAAACAGAAGGAAGCAGAAGAAGAGAAGAAGAAGCAGGAGGAAGAACAACGATTGAAGGAAGAAGAAGAAGAAGAAGAAAGGAAGCAGAGAGAAGAAGAAGAAGAGAAAAAGAAAACTGAGGAAGAACAAAGATTAAAAGAGGAGGAAGAGAGAAAGAAAAAAGAGGAGGAAGAAATGAGACAGAGAGAGGAGGAAGAGAGGAAGCAGAAAGAGGCTGAGGAGGAGGAAAGGAAGAAAAAGGAATTAGAGGTATATCTTAGAACTTGGAAGTTGGAAGACATTGTGTTTTTAATTTCCAAGCTCTAAATAGTAAATCTTTAAGTGCTGACAGAGAATGCAGATATGTTAAATATTTAGTATTCAGTCAATTGTTGTCTGATCAATGAGCTCTTAATAGCTGCAGTTTTTTTTAATAATCCCCAGTATTGAGTAAGCTATGAAACTCTGATTTACAGGTTCCAGATTATGTAACAAGGGTAAAATTTACATGATTTATTTTTGACCAACCAAAATATTGATATATTGTTTTGCAAGAGTACATGTTAATGGAAAATTGAGGTGCGGTTCTAAATATTAAAAATACATCAGGCTTTTAGCTCCAAAATTAGATACAGTTCATTTATTCTCCATGTTTCTCCAAGTTAATATTATTTACTTTCATCATGTATCACTTGGGCAGTTAATTAAATATATTTAATTATACTACAGCTGTCCATCAAGGATTACAGAGTAAAGCTTATAATCATTATGTCCAGAGCATCCACAATATTGTTCAGACTCTGGCCAATATTCTACAAAAGTAATTGCATTTCTGTTAATACGTCATATCAGCCTTCATTCTTTATTTAGTTTAGCCACATTATATTACATGTGCATACATACCCATTCATTAAGGATATAAACTGTAATGATTAAATGAAAATGGGGTCATCTTGAAGGCAAAATTGTTAATTAAAAATGTGGGCTAAGGGTTAGAAGGGGAAAGAAGAAAATCCAAAAAAGGTACATGCAATGACAATGTGGTGCTGTTGTTGATCTTTTAGAGGTCTAATATTTCTATTTCTGTAAATTTCAAAATTGTTACTTTAACAGATACATTGAAATTACTGAAATGTCAAATTTAATTAAAACTCATTCAGATGAAGTAACAGGCAGCAAAGCTAAGTTCATTCAAGGAATTGCATTTAGTTTTGCAAAATGTTGTGCATGTACAACTAGTAAAAAACAAATTAATGATTCAGAAGATCAACAAATTACAAATGTATTTAGCTTTACACAGAAAACAATGACTTGAATTGCTGCTCTTACATATTTACAGACTTTTGATTGAATTCATTATAATCACAGCATATTATGGCAAAAAAGCTGTAGCCTCAGATTTGAACCTTTCATAGCAATAAAATCTTTTCTAACTTTCTAGTACTCAGTCCTGGTTTACTCTCAGTTAAACTCCTTTTCAAGATAACTGTAGTACTGCTTTTTTATAGGGCAAAATGATGTAGTTTGATTACGTATTTGTAAATCCAAGTGTTGATCTAAATAAACATTATTTAATTTTTGTCAAGAAAAGTCTGAAACAAAACAATGTTAATATGCCCAGGTGTTAAAGAATAGCACTATAGTTATACATGTACTCTGAAAGAGCTAATATTAAAAAAAACAACCTGCATTTGAAGGTCAAAGTCTGTGTCCCTGTTTCCTTTATAACTGAAAATTTACTCTGCCTTGATCCTCCTTCCTTTATATGGTTTGAATGAAAACTGTCAGACATCTTTATATCTTAAAATTAATAAGCAGATCAAAGGTAAAGTATTTTTGCTTGTTAGTTTATTATCCATTATTGATCTCTTTAACATCTTTGGTATTATCTAATGTATTTTCGGCATTAACTAGATTTATCTTCACATGGCCAGAGAAAGGGTATATATGTAATTTTGCAATTATGAATTAATGCATTTCTATAAATCTTAGTCCTGACTTTATAGCCATAAGAATCTGAGACCATTGTTGAAAAACTGTTTGTTTGCTCTCTACGAACCAGCCCGTACGAAACAGTCCGGGCGTCTTAGACACGGCTCAGGCACGGATTCCGTCTCCTGAAACCCGTGCTTTAGCATTCCGTGCTCCTATGTAAAGCATGTATGGAAAGCCGTGCCTAAAAGTGGTCGAGGCACGGACACGGCACGGGATATTGGCCGAATTATTTAAATGAGATCACACGGTTTTACAAAACCCGTGTCAGAAAGCCGTGCTTGTTTCCATATATGGACTCATGGATTCTGTAAACCCGTGTCTGAAACCCGTGTCCTTTTCCATATATGGAGACACGGTTTTTTTGAAACCCGTGTCAAAAAAACCGTGCCTTATACCATATAAGGAGTCACGGGATCTGTGCATTCGTCTAGATCTAGGTCATGGCCTTTAGAGAATGTCCTGATGTAACTGTGAATGCCAAAATGGTGACTGAAACCAAACTAACTTCACATTGCTTTACATTTATGCTTAGTTTTAGAATTTCAAAAGTTCAAAATCTTATATGAATGTGTACATTTACTTTCTGTTAAAGATTAACTTTATCAGTTACAATTCATGCTAGTTTTTAATTAAGATTTTAATGATAATGTACAATATTCAATTCAATTGTAATTTAATCTAGTAGCTATAAGTTTGCACAATCTGAGAAAGAATTTAGTATAAATAAAACTTTCACTCTATAGCACAGTGATGTCACATTAGTGAAAGTCCAACTAAAGTCATTCAAATAAGCCTAAACTATTTCATCATGTTCATTGTCAACATTGCAATACAGGAAGATCATGAAAATTGAAAAATTGACTAATTTATTCTAGATTACACTTACTGCATTTAGTTTAAAAGTGAAGAACTTATCCCAGACTGACATAAATACAATTCCAACTGACATCTATTGGTTAAATATCCTTTATATAGAGCAAAAAGACACATTGACTTAGCTCATGACCAAGAATCCCTCCAATTTAATATTCAAATAAAGGAAGTTATGATTGAGCATGCTCAGTAAAAAGCCGTGAGATATAAATAAATAGTTTGAAGCAAAACCCGCCTCAGTTAAAAACCGTCTCCCTGGGACACGGAGTCCGTGTCTCCACACGGGTTTCTGTGAGTGAGGATTCCTCACTTTCAGACACGGAAGCCGTGTCCGTGTCTTGGACATGCAGAACCCGTGCGGCTTTTTAAAAACCCGTACGGATTCCGTGTCTTAGCCATGCCCAAGCCGTGCCTATTCCGCCTCGAACTTTCGTACGGGTAATATCTAAATACAGTCCACCTCCAACCCTGTTCTGACCTCCAGGATTTTTTTTATCACAATTTTTTTTATCATTTTAATTAAACTTTTCTCATTTAATTCACTTTTTAAGATGCCTGAAAAACATTTTTTTGAATATATACTTCTTTTTAAAAGGAGAAGTTAGAGTCCACACTGGCCAATCAGAATGCAGATAAGGAAACCATGAAATCCTTGATAGAGGAGAATGTCCGACTAAAAGGAGACATGGAAAAAATGAAAGAAGATTATGAGAAAATCAAGGATAAAGAAGCCAAAATTTCTGAAGTGGAGAAAGAAAACCAGGAGAAATCAGACAAAATCAAGAAACTTGAGGCAGACTTGGAGAAACTGAAAGCTCAGGCATCCAATGGAACGGGGGGAGAAGCCTCCGCTCAGAAGATATCCGACTTGGAGAAAAAGCTCATCCGCCTGGCAAAAGAGGACGAGGATAAAGATAAACAAATCACATCCCTCAACAAAGAGCTACAGCAAACCAGGACAGAGCTACAGAAAAGAGAGGCACGGGCACCAGGTGAAGGAGGGAACCAGCCATCTAAGTCATGCGTCATTCTGTAGACTGTTACATTAATTTATTATGCATCAGAGGTGCTCAGGAGTAAACTCTATTCCTTTTTTCCCCCTTAGTTTGAAGATGGTTTTCAAGATCTGATACATTTATTAAGAGGAAACTTTATTAATGAAGACTTAAAATATAGTGATCTTGATAGAGAAATTTTTATAGTCTTTCTTTTTACATAACAAATCGTATCAAATGAATATTAATTTATATTATGTTTAATATTTGAAAAGTCCCGTCCATTTATTTTGTGCATTAAGATTTAGAGCTCATCAAAGCGAGTGTGATTTTTGTAAGCTAGTCATTGTTACCTGTTTCTGTTAGTATTTGCACCAAATGTGATTTTTTTTTCCCCAGTGCAATGGGTTTATTCTCAAGACATTAAGAATCTAAAGATTTTTTTCTTTTTGTTTTTTTTTAGTCACGTATTAATGATAGTATTCCAAATAATTTCTTTCATTAGAACAAAATATGATGTACATCAAATACTTCAATTATTGGACATTTTGTTATCTGAGCTAGTACATGTACCTGTTGTAAAATGAACTCGAAAAAGCAATTGATATACAGGCACATGTTTATCTGAATTTCCTTACATTACTTTTTTATATAATTGTGATTATTTTGAAGAAAAATCTTTTACTTTTACTGAATTCGTCTCATTTGTTTGACCAGAGTGTGTCTTTTTAAGTCTTGAATTTGAAGGAGCAAACAATCCAAATGATTAACATAATGTACTAGGTACCAGTAAAGCAGCAGGTACCCTGTTTGTATAAAACCACTACAAAATCTACGGAATCAATCATAATTGATATACCGGTAATAAGGACTTTTAGAGTCTTCTGTTGGTAATGGTTTAAAAGACCATTCAAGTATTATCACATGGTCAGTTATATTTTAAACATGACATGAATTATTCAGTTTTAGTAAAACATAGCAACAATTGAACAAAAATTTACAAGTACATAAGTTTTAAACTTTTTATCAGTACCAAATTTTACTCACACACCTTTACATTCCCCTTATTTGACTATACTGCAACAATGAGTGTGTGTGTTTGGGGGATGCAACCAACTTTCAGTACAAATAATTGTCTGAAAAACAAAAATATAAGATTTCAGATACCAACTGAGATGGTATCAGGTGTCATGTAGGAGTAAGCATTCCCTGCCGATCGGACATTTCCAATGTGTGCTCTCTGTCATGATCAGGAATACGGATCAATTCCTAAGCTATTCATTGTAAACAATGGCCTAACAATTAAAAACGTCATTCAGCATTCACATAATGATAGGTTGTATTTGCTCATAAGGTCCTTTTTATCGACCATAAAATGTTGACTTCAAACAAGACTGTTAATATCCTTGTTTTATCAAATTGTTTGTCAAAAGTTAAATTTGTTTTATACCTTGTTCATACTCGGGGAATATGATTTTTCTTGGCTGAATGTCTTCATATTTCCCTCCCTATCATGCTATAAATGTATAATGTCGAATTGAAGGTCACAACAAGCGTTTTCTTCTTTTCGCGTTTAACACTTTGAACAGCTTCTGCTTCATATAAATACAAAAATAGGTCTCCATATTACTCGCCACTTTACTAACACAAAAATGCTATTAATATAATAGGAAATCATAATTATAACATTCACCCTAAAACTGAAAGAGCTGCTGAATTATTGGTTGGTGTTGCATCCACCAGCGCTTGCTCGCGCTGTGTTATTTCCTTCAGCCCAATATAGTATACTAACATTGTAGATAACTAGAATTTTCAATTTTTACCTTAAGGTAGGATTCTTCTCACATTTCTTGTATTTAAAAATTTACGAAATTTTCACAGAATCAAGAGGACAATATCACTAAGTGATGATATCAGTGAGATTAAATTTGACCGTTTAATATTAGAGACAAGGTCAGGTCAAGGTCATTACCTTTTCCCTGGACATTAAGAATAAAAAAAATACTGTTTCTAATCATGCAACCCCTACTTGTTATTAAAAAATTGAATGTTTTTCTTTTTGCATAAAAAGATACTACCATATAGGGCCTATAAGATGATATTACCAAATTGACATGGATAATTCAAATAAAATGGATATTTTCTAATTCGAATTTCCTCTATTTTTCTTAAATTTTTAGGATTTATCAGTTATTTTCATATGCTTCCTATATTTAACTTTTTCCAATTTTTATATATATTTTGTATATTGTTTAATGGACGTTGAGATTGAATACTGTTCGTTATCTCTATATCCTTCTTCCTTACATCGGAAAATTTCTTCTAGTATTTGATTACGTAAAATTATAACTAAATTCAATGTTCTAAAATAATATTGAGAGGCAGAAAAGAAGATATTTTCATACGTCACCATTCCGCCAAAAATATAGTCCCTTCTAGTTTTCAAACGCAGTTTACCATTTCTATTTAATGTTGTATAATTGTGATGAGGAAAGAAAAATATGGTCCTTAAAATCTCTTACATCTAAATATATAAGACATATCAACAAGTGTACTTTGAATACTCCATCTATTCAGAAACTAGAGAAGATTCCTACCTTAACGGGGTATTGTCATATAAGTTTTCAATAATTCATAAATTATGAGGCAAAATGAAATGAGATTTTGGTTACATTCATCGAAGATAGTTTTAAACGTTTCATAAGAATGCATGGATTAAAAATCAATTCATGGTTTCTAGGTTTTTCTGGAGTTAAGGCTCAATTCTTTTGTTTATAAAGTTAAGTAGATCTACAATTTCTTTGAAAACATGTTTTCTATTTATCATGGGTCTCAAGCAAACAAGGTTTGGATTAAAAAGAGAGATAACGAATTGTTTTCTAGCTCAATAAACATTCAAACAACACGAATCTGTAGCAGAGCAAACAGAAACCTCCAAAATATCAGAGGTGGAATATAAGATGCCATGGAGGAGTGAGCTTCGCCCGTTATGAAAATTATCCCATGATTCCCACTATTGTTGATGCCCTGGCCTACTAAACTAACTGGCAGTGATTCCTGAATAAATTCTGCTTCATATGTATACTAAATACGTCTGCTTATAATGGGGTGCAAATTCATGCTTCCTGGTGTTTTTGGTGATGGTATGGGGCCTCTGTTCTCTACAAAAATTGTTTGGTTTTTTTTTTTATTAAAATTTGTCATATGGGGGGGGGGGGGTGGGGTAACGTACAGAACTGCATATTCAAAAAAAAGTATATAAAGGGGTCATTTAAACTCAAACATGTGTAACTGGCCCCCCTGTGAGTAGGACATCATGCATATTTTACAGGTACCAGTAACAAGATGTTTGATTTTACGATTACTTCTTGTTTACATGTATAGTGATCATTATGCGTTACTGGTATGTGTCTTATCCGTGTCTAAAGAGGGATAACCGTTGACAGACTGCAAGTGATTTTATCAACTCTCTCTATATGCACTTTCACAGAACAAACAGTATCGACCTTATCACTCTTTTGAGAGAAAAAAAATCATCAATGGAAAGTTGTCTGTCCGCAGATTGGGTACGGGAGGGGTTGAGATGGTCTGGACAGATCAAGGAATTTATTAAAACAAATTCCACTGTAAAGGTAAAACAAATATCTCTTGCGAAATGAAAAAGAGAATAGATACCGGAACGAAAAAAAATACAACTCTAGAAAGTGTAAGTAAAACACCTCATGAGGCTTTTTTTTTTTTTTTTTACATATATAAGACTATATCTCACTGAAGTTAAGCTTGAGCCCTAGGCTTTCTTCATGTTCGCCTTAAACCTCATGGTTTCCTAGACCTCTGCATGCTTCTCAGAAAAAAAAAAACTTTTCCTCCAACTTTTAAGTTCTTGAGTCTACCCCTGCGCAGTCATGCCATAGCATAGGTGAACATTGATCGATCTCAAAAATCGACCAAAAATACAGTTATTGTACATGTACCATAGGCAATTTTTCTACATATGATCCGCATATGCATAAACTGTCGTATGAGGCTCATGGATAATATATGTGGATGCGTATACTGATCATATGTATATAGGATCACATGAGTATCATATGTCACGGTGGCAAATCATATATGTGTCATATGAATATACATACGTAAACCATATGAAGCAATTTACATATGATGCACATCTGAAAATGTGTATATGTATGTGGAAGCTTCCTGAGAATTCCCTGGATTTTTTCATGACCCCAGGTGTTAGAAAAGAATGGAAGTTTTATTTCTTGTCCATTTGTATTTCGAAGGAATATGGATGAAATATTAATTGCTGCCACAATCACCAACACATAATTAATCAATCAATTTTCTAATATATTTTTTCATCCCTGTATATCCACAATAACAAGTATAATTCCATTGCTAATTTAATCAAAATTTGTCCTTTTGCTGTCCTGTCGTCTGCATAACCGATTAAAAAAAAAAAAACAGCTTTATACCGCCGTGATGCGTATTTTGATTTTTTTTCTTTTAAAAGTAGGTCAGGCATTTAACAACAAATTCTTACATAATGTATTTTGATGCAACTTGAGCAAACGAAAGGTACGTAATATTTTATTAACTATTAACTTATTAATTGTCTCTAAAAAGAATAAGATATAACTTTAAAAACTGCTTTGGTTAATGCATATTTGCTTTAATGTTATAAGTCTTGTAGATGGTTTATCGTGAAAGAAAACTGACACTGTTCAAGCCTTTTCTACAAACAATTAGGTGAACAGTGCATCTTTTTTTTTTATCGACTAGCTGCATGGGTGGGTCTCAGTTAACTTCCATTATTCTTACATATTAATTACAACTGAGCTCAAATTAACATCAAAAGTAACCCCTGACACACATTGCCTGAATGAAACTAATGTGTCATAACATTGTCTATCAAAACATTTATGCAGATAAAAAAAAAATCTTGCGGAGTATGATTTCATGTATTGTTTTCAATCAAGTTTACTAATCGTGGAATCGGATGGGATTATCCATAAGATATTAAAGGTACTATAATTACACATTTCAAATATGAAACTGGAACAAAAAAACATATAATCAAATTCATTTGTTACTTAATTAAAGATGCTATACACTTTTTTAAAGTAAGATTTTCAGAGCCTATTGTCAAGTCAAGTTGTCTCCCCCTGTAATTTGCCCTTTTTGTTATTTTGTTCATTCAATTTTTCTCTTTTGTTTAATTTCCTATATATGACTTTTTCTGTTTTTTTCTCTGTTACTTTGTTCAATTTTGTTTGTGTTTTTTTTCTCTTCTGTTGTACATTCATTTATTATCACTATTTGTTTTGTACCTTGACCTAAATGTAGGGAGAGGGCTAGAATAGGCTGCGCCTGCTGCCCAATCCTATTCACAATAACATCTGAGAATAAAATATTGTTTAAATTAAGTCAAGTTGTCACTACATGTGAACGTAATATTCAAAGACTTATACCTAAACCAAATTAAGAATCAAGCTAAGACAATTGAAACAATGCCTATTGAGATTTTCGGCCACACAGTCAAAAATTGTTTACATATTTTGTACTCATGCGTTTCTTTCTTCATTTCTGTATATACTCAGTACATTGATTGTCTGGGTTTTTTGTTTTGTTTTTGTTTAAATCTGTATTTAAAAAAACTCTCATAAAATGGCCCATGCTCAAGAGCA